TGACTCAGATTTTTCAAAATGTAAATAAGTAAATAAATATAGATAAATAAAATAATAACAACAACATTTTCTAAATGAATTTTGAACCAGACTGACAGTTTTTGATCATTGTTTTTAGATTCACGACTTAAATGCCAAAGATCTTATTGCCGTCATCTTAAACTATTAGAGGCATAAAAGCTTGATCAAATAATAAAACCGAACACAAACTATTTGTGTAAAAAAATATTCTTTAAAAATTAAGACCAGATGATTAAAAGTCAGTATGTTTTCACAAGGCCCCAATTAGAAAAATGTCCATATAATCAGTAACTAAGCAAAATAAAACGGTCTAAAAAGACACTTGCATTATTAAAGGCCGCAACGCTTGAAGGCTCCGTGAGTCAAAGTGAAACAATCAAACCCTTCCAACATTTTTCTTATCTCACAGATTTGTGTGGTAAATATAAGCCCTCACATCTTCGCTCTGGTGGGTTTAGACATTTAAACAAATGTCCCTAATTCAGTCAGACTTCACATTTCTTTTCTTTTCTCTCTTTTTTGTGTGCGTGTGCACTCTGGGGAGCACGAGCCCCGAGTTGCAGAGGTCCTCGCGCTCCTTGCACCTGCCTGCCTGGCTCTGGCGCCGCGCACGAGCCCAGGTCGCGTGCAGGAGATTTTAGAGGCTTTGCATGTTTTACAAAGTTGTTTCTGCTGTAGGAGGGTATAAAGCATAGAGAGAAAAAGGAGGGAGGGAAGCCTGTTTTTCTTCTTTAGCACATTTAACGCACGCTCGGGGGAGGGGCCGCCACCAAGCAAAATCAGGGGGAAAGTCGATGTCAGGCTTCCCCATTTTTAAGTGTTCTCAAAACTGACGAGGAAAAAAGTGTGTGATCAAGTCAAAACAAAGAGTGTTTTGCGTGTTTAAGAACAGGGGAAATGATAGTTTGCTAGGGGCGTATTCCCAAACTTATTCATTCAAAAAGGAAACTTTCCTGGGCAACGAGGACCAGAGATAAAATAAAGAATCAGAGAAAAAAAAAACTTCTAGTTCCAAAGCGAATTGAAATCTTTCACAGAAGGCTTTCCCCTTGAGTCATTATCATTTATTCTTCTTATTTGACCGCCCCCCCGTGAAATAAGTGTCTTATAAATAGAACCACCGCACAATTCTGCATGATGAAAAGGTCTGCGTGTTCTGACTCCCCAAGAGAGACGCTGAGTGAAAAACTGTGCCTCCAGCTTTGGGTTCACCTCTCGGGAACAGGTATAGGGCTGGCAAGCGCGCGCGTTCGGCCGGGACCCGGAAGCCGGGTTTTTCTGGCTGACGTGCCATTACGTTGCTGTGTGCCCGCTGCCTCCCGTGCAGCCGCAGAAGTTTGAGCTCCAGTACTCTGAGAGCTTTGCGCAGAGCGAGAGAGGAGCCAGAGGCTGAGGACGCACCGCTCCCTGCCGGAGGAGGAGAACCAGAGCAGCCACCGGAGGCCTCCAGAATTTCTTTTATTATTATTTTTTCCTCCCCCACCGATTATTGTCTGACCGCATCTGAGCAGTGAACCGGACGGAGCGACTTTCTCTGGACTGACCCCTGACTTTAAAGACCTGACACAGGTTTCATGTCACCTGGGAGACGTGAGTGAATCGCCTTTTTTTTGGGTATTTTCGGCATTTATTTGGGAACTGTGTTAGAATAGTAATAATAACAGTAGCAACTTCAGAAGAATATTAGCATGTTTGGTTAATACATTTACCTTTAGTATTTAATTCCAGAAATACTCTCATTTAAAGAGCCAGAGAACGGCACACTGCTGCGTTTATTCGGTGGTTTATCAGCACGCAGCATCACGCTGCGACGTGACGATGCTGTGCTCTGTTCCACTATCCACTGGAAACAATCTTTACATTTTCTTTGCTTGTTTTTCCTTAAGGAATGAATGATAAAAACGAGACAGAGCTGTATCAATACGCCGAATAACACACCTTCTCACTACGAGAATAATACAAGGCTTCTTTTATGGGCGAGCCGTTTGAAATTTTGTCGAAGAATTCACCCGGTCATTTAAATCCAAATAATCCGTTTTACGGCCGTGGGCAAGGTGCTCTGGTCCCGGAATAAAGCCTTGATCGCGCAGCGGTTTAGTGTATCATCAGTGTTATATTAGTGGCGACAAAAGTATTCAATTGTCACGCTTTTAAAATGCATAATGACTGGAGCGCTGCTTTTTTCACGGACAGAAAGAGCAATCACACCAGCACAATGGTGGAGCAGGGACAGGGGCGGGCAGGGGTCTCCACAGGCATGCAGCAGCCGGGCTCAATACATGCCACCTATTTACACCAACCTATTACCTGCGCTGTTGTCTGCATAACGCCCTGTGTGCATCCAGACCCATAAAGCTCACGGTGGGAGACTTTGGGGGATTCGCAAATTATAGCAGAGGAGTCAAATAATCCTTTCACTTTCTGTCTTTTTTTTCTTTAAAAAAAAAAAACTTAGCAGGACTGTTGAGGAGCTGCTCAAACACGATTTTAAACATGTTACATGATTGTACAGAAATCGTTCCAGAGCTTTTAGCCTTCTGGTCCCAATCCCCTTTTTTTTGTGTGTGTGAATTGTGCAGCCTTTGTCTGAAATGTTATTATTTTGAGCTCAAACTGCCTTAAATGGGGCTGAGTGCAGCTCTTGGAGCATGGTCCAGGCCTCTCTCTCAGCAGTTATAGGGTCTTGTGCCTGGGTGCTTGTGTCTAAAAAGCCCCCCAGTGCCCTGGCTCGATCTAATTAGCCGTGAGTAAAGGGGACAATAATGCTTCAGCTGGTTTGTGTCATTCTCCTCTCTCTGGCTCTGCTTATCTTCACAAGCCCCACAGTGGCTCTTCACACCCCCACACTCCCCCCCCCCGACACACACACACACACCAAACACACAGAGCCGGGCACTGCAGTCACACACCTACACTCCGGATAATGATGGATGACCGTGCCCAATGGGAACAAACAGGTAGATAAAGCCAATCCTATTTAATAACAGCATGGATCGGAATGATAATCTTGTTGTTCATTAGCCACTGTGGCTGCACAGGGATACAGTTGTTGCACACACTGTTCTCAGCCCTGCTCAGGAGGTGTTGTGAGAGGGGATAGGTTTTCTCCAGTTTAGGGTAGCATCCCTGGGTGAAACAATACTGCTGTGTCCTTGAGAAAAAGGCAGAGAGAAAGCAAGAACCCCCCCCCCCCCCCCCCGCCCCCCCCAATCAGAAAACCTCCGTCACACTCTCCCATCTTTTGTTCCAGCACAGATACAAATGGGATTAATGAAGGTATAAATTACAGAGAGCTAAAGCCTGCTGAGTAATCCATTTGGCAAACATGCAAACAACAATAGGCGTGCGGCTGCAGCAGCTCTCCGGAGCCCCCCCCCCCCCCCCCCCCCCTCTCCAAGTGCCCGAAGACGCCGCGGACAACACGGGCTGACCACTTGGCTAAGTGATGTGTTACAGTGCGCATATAAAGTGTCCTTTCACTGTATAAGCCACAAGATCAACAGCATCACCGGCCGCTCGTTCAGGCCCAGACAGAGGGAGGCATTGTGGCTCCGGCTTCAAAGAGGTTCGGGAGCATTAAATTGCTTTGAGTAATGTACTATTGGTGACTGATCAAATATGAGTTGCATCGTATAAAGCCTTTAAATGTGAGGCCGAGCGTGTTCTCGCTCCACCTGCCAAATGTGGCGTGTCGTCAGTGGAATGTCGGTTGCTCCTGCGGCCATATTCACTAATTTGTTGATTTTAAGAGTTTGACAAGCTCAGAGGGGCCGAGCTCATCAACTCCTTGCCCCTGGCAACGGGCCAGTGATTTATACCGTCCGATGACGGACGCGCGCGGCGCTTTCACGGCAGATATATGACATCAGAAAATGACCTACATCTTTTCATCAGGTATGAGGGGGATTCTTACCTCCAGGTATAGCCGAGGTTTCGGGAGGCCGAGCCCACGGTTGGCATGGGTTCTGTGACGTCACGCTCCGGCGTCGGCCTGGCTGATGGGCTGACCTGCAGAGTATAGCCTCCAATTATACTTTGTCAATCACACAGGCGCGCGCACAGTCCAAGCGCAACGGCACAGTGAAACCGAGCACTGATCCTTTTACGCAATGCCTGCCATTTGTCAGTGAAAATAAAAATATTTGTGGAAAGTCTTTCAGCCCCCCCCCCCCCACCCAAAAAAAGGGCGTTGGGAGACTCTTTGACCCCTGATACAGGTGAGGCCTTCCGCCCATCCCTGGTGTCGCGGCGCCATTGGCATTTAAACCGTGTTTTAACGGCTCTGTCTGCGAGACAAAACCCCTGCTGTCACAAAAGGAATGCCCTGCTCCTAATTAAAGACAATTAGACGCTCACGACAATGGGGCCAATTTCGGGGTCATAAATCGACTCCTCCTCTGTTGGTTTTAGAGGTGCTGAAATAGCTGTTTATTTACATAACACCAGTATGAGAAAAAAAAAACAGCTATTATCAGTTGCAGCGTTCGATCCTCTCAATAGCTTTAGGCCTATACTCGTTAAAAGGAAAACGTTTCGCAAGTGTGTGCAATTTTAAATCTGCTCTAACTAATACAAGACTAATGTGGTTTAATAGCATCTCCGAGATGGAGTCCTGTAGGTTAGTGGTTATAGTTTATAAAAACAAATCACAGTAAAACTATCTCCCTTTACCACAGACGTCTGTCTATAGGCTCATAACCACCGCTCAAAAAGCTGATTAGCATGAGCCAATTGTTCATTCCGTTTGAGCTTCGCAAGAGAGAGAGAGAGAGAGAGGGAGAGAGAGACCCCGGAGAAATTACGCTGTTGATTGATAAGTCTTTTAGTTTGTCGGGGCAGAGAAATTGAAATTGAAAGAAGGAGAGCCGGGATGCAGCGAGCCCAATTGTGGCAGGGCGCTCTGTCATTGGCCCGCAGCGAGGCCCCGCCCCCCGGTGCTTGATATGGGAATTTACTGGCGCCAGTCGCATCAGTCTGCGCCACATCTCATTAATGAGCCTGAGCACCGCGCGGATCAAGGGGTTTACACATCCAAGCTGCATTTGCCGTCAGCTGACCTAATCTGCAACAGGTATCCCCGGAAAATCTAGTTTCTTTCTTAATGCCGAGACACGGGACCAATGTTGCATGCGGGAGACGGTTGTGCGCTTTACTTTGTTTCCAAGTTGTGATCGCAAGGACTCTGAATTATGCAAACTTTATTTTGAATGTCATCCGATATATATTTTTTTTTACATGCAGCTATATAGAGGATTCCTCTTAATTGCAAGGCAGGAGCTGTGTGCGTGATACATTTTACAATTTGTCTTCGTCTCTTTGCAGGTATATCACTGACGACGAAGAGGGACGACGTGTTTCCAAACGGAATCTATTTGTAAAGCTAAATTGACGCGAGCGAGGCTTTTTGCGGCAAAGGACATTATACTGCAGCAGCTGAACTTCCATTTGGAGGCGAAGGCAGCGAGCGGAGAGGCGGCTGCAGCCATGGAGGTCGCAGCGGCTGACCAGTCTCGGTGGATGGCGCACCATCACGCGGTGCTGAACGGCCAGCACCCGGACTCTCACCACCACGGCCTGAGCCACAACTACATGGAGCCCATGGCGCCTTTGCTGCCCCAGGACGAAGTTGACATGTTTCTGAACCACTTGGACTCGCAAGGGAACCCGTACTACACCAACTCCCGGGCCAGGGTCACATACAGCCAAGCGCACGGTGAGTCCAGCCGCGTACCGAAACTACGGGGGGGGACAGGATCCTGAAAAAAATATGATAAAGCAGTGCCCTGTGTTTATATAACACATACAATACGGGAATAAAGGGGTCTGCGTTTAATATCTGTGGAATATTTTCTGTTAAAAATGCCATGCAGTTAGTGCCGTGGACTGAATAGAAATTTGTCATAAAAGAAAAAAAAAAAGCCCCTCTTGACTTTTTCTGGGCCAATTCAGCAAGATAAAAGGGATTTCTAGCAAATGACAGCGAGAGGAAAGGGAAGTATGTCACTTAACCCCTCTCTGTTTGGGCAGGGGTTCTGCAGGGAGAGAGAGGCACTTCCCGGATATAAAATAAAAACCGCAAATATACTAATAACAATCTTTAGTCCGAGAGCTGCTGCGGATGAAAAGATACTGCCGAGTACGTGGAGCTCCTTCTATCTGTTTTTCTGCTATCGGCGGGCCTCTGTTATCACTCTTATATAAATGAGATGTCCGAGGCTATTGCCATTTCAAGAAAATAATATTTTTGGACTATTATCCAATTGCCGCAAAGACAAAATTAGTCATTTATTGCTAGAACATTATATCAGCATCTGGAACTAAATGTCGGATTTGGGTAATTTCGGCCATTTAACCGGTAAGATCTTTTACTTGGGGCTTTTGCAAACGAATGAACACTTTGAAACGGCGCGTGGACTCGAATGGGCCGAGTGAACTAACGGCTTGTTGTGGATTTCAGCTCGTCTGACCGGGAACCAGGTCTGCCGGCCGCACCTCATCCACAGCCCGGGCATCCCGTGGCTGGACCCGGGCAAAGCGGCGCTGTCCGCGGCCGCGCACCACCACAACGCGTGGGCGGTGGGCCACTTCAGCAAGCCCGGCCTGCACCCCGCGGGCTCCGGCTACCCCTGCAGCAGCAGCGCGGGCACGGCCTCCGTGTCCTCGCTCACGCCGGCCTCCCACTCCAGCCCGCACCTCTACAGCTTCCCCCCGACCCCTCCCAAAGACGTGTCCCCGGACCCCGGCCCCACGTCTCCCACCTCCACCTCCACCCGCATGGACGAGAAGGAGTCGATCAAGTACCACGCGCAGCTGCCCGACGGCATGAAGATGGAGAGCTGCAGCCCTCTGCGCGGCGGCCTGGCCTCCATGAACGGCCAGGCTCCGGCCACGCACCACCCCATCCCCACCTACCCGGCCTACTCCCTGCCCGCGCCCCACGACTACAGCGGGAGCCTCTTCCACCCCGGCAGCCTGCTCGGCGGCTCGTCCTCCAGCTTCACCCCCAAATGCAAGAGCAAAGCCCGGTCGAGCTCAGGTGAGTCTCACGCGTGTTTCTGCGCCACGATCAGATGGCAGATCAGGGCGATAAGGCCTAATAATTCCGTGGCCGAGCTTTAGCCAGCGGAGCGGTGAACTTTTCACACCGCGTAGTTTACCCAGTGCATTATCAGTGGATTATTCTTTCATTATAAAAACACATCTCAGTATTGTTTTTTAAATACTATGCGCTGTCTGCGTTCCCATTTTTTAAAATTGTCTGGAAATATCGCAAGTTTGAATGAATTTTCTTAAATGTTTATATAGCCTATATATATTTGTAAATGTAGAATTATTAATCATTTTTATTAATGACACTGTCTTGAAAAGTGTCAGTGTTTTTTAAAGGCCACTCAACAGAGAAATGCAAATATATACGTCAGGATTAGAAACACTAACTATTTTTTGGGGGGGAAAACCCCCCCAAAACATCAATATGCGATACTGCGAAAACATAAAAGAAACACAATAAAAGAAAAAAAAACCCTACAACTCTTTGACACCATTTACAGCGACCCATCCAGCCCCCAAAAACCGTTTTTCTTCAAACCGCTGCTTATTCGTGACACGGGCTTGTTTTCTTTTAAATCTACCCTTTATTGCGCTTAGAAAATAAAGGAGTCACGACGCCCTGGCTCCTGCCATATCCTGTATACCTCCGAGTGAACAAATCACGACCTCCACCCCGCCCACCGCTCTCCGCAGCACTAACAAAGCACAGGCGACAGAGCCCTGCTGTTTGTGTTTTTAAGCATGGCCTTGGCCCATTGCACGGACACGAAGTGGAGCTCAAGTCTACTGTAGGCTTACTTCTCTTGAAAGATGAGAGTGCTTTTTTTTAAATCCTTTTTTTTTTGCAGTGCGTTGAGTAATCGTGGTTTATAATGAATTTTTTTTTTTTTTTTTTTTTTTAACACGAAAGCCCCCATTCTCAGTAAAAATGGCTTATCATAAAACAACATATCTTTAGCTGTCTGGACTTGCACCTGATTCATTATCCTGGTGTGCTGGAAGGGATATTTAGAGAAAAAAAAATTAGGCATTTTTTTTTGGACGCTAATGGGCAGCCAATTTGACTTTAAAAAAAAAAAAATCAGTCTGGTAATGAGTTAGTAATTTCCCTACATTGTTTCAGCTGTGGTGCTTTGAATTACCGGACAAAAAAAACTAACAACAGGTTACTCTGCAGACTGTTAACAAGTTGTTTCAAATGTAGATGTGCCATTATCAACATCGTCACCCTGATGTTAAACACACTTGGGAAAGGCTCAGCGCCTGTTAATCTGAGCGAATATGAGCTGCTGTGGTGGAGAAATGTTACACTGTGACATTTAAAACAAGCTGGCTAGACTGTCCCAGACTCAGCAACACAAACATATCTGCTGCGGCATTAAAAAGCTTCTTATCTATAAAGTGGAAGCCCAGTGCCAGTAATGGTGATTGATTGTTGTACAAAATGCCACAATGACATTTCAGCTGTCAGCACATATACCTTACAGTCCTGTGGCTTCCTGTTGAATAAGCCTCAGACCAGAACTCCTTCCCCCGTACAACTTACCTTGCTTACAACAGCCTGTCTGCCTTCCTATTTTTCATCTTATTTCAACAGAATATTGCATAAGACAAAAAAAAAAAAAAACATGTAAGTCATTGCTGATGAATATTTAGAGGCTTAATGAATTCCTCTCGGGCTGGTTGCTGGACTTATGAAATACTTAAGAGGAAGAGAAGATAAGGTGCATATAAAAAAGATGCATTTCAAAAGGAAACCTTGCTTTTTTTTTTTTACTCAGGTCAGATTCCATTGTAGAGCAAGGGTGGGACTTTGGGTGTCGCTGGCATTATAACAGGGATAATGAGATGATGCTCTAGGGAGACAGGGATACTTGAATTAAATGAATTGTTGGTTTAGCAACAGGCTCTTTGAAGTCAGTCCAACCTGTATGGGAGAGAAAGTGTATGAAAGAAGTTTTTTTTTTTTTTTTTTAAAAGCGCTTTTTTTTCTTTGACTTTTTAGAAAAGAATGAGCAGTTTTGATAGAGCCTCCGTTTAGAAATAATACAAACCTCCCCTGCATTTAGTCGGTTAAAAATCCATCTCAGTTTCATTCACGCAGCCAAGTTGCATGTAAGCTTTTCACCAAAAGCTGCAACACGGCCCGGCACATTTAATACCACCAACATCCAAGTATGTTTCTTCTCATGGGTGCCCACTGGGCTGATGAATAATGTAGTCCTAATTTGATGGTGTGTCTCATTCTTCTCGGTGGACACCTCTGGACATGTTCTGGCTGTCTCGGGCCTCCCTGCTATAGATCGGTTTACATGGAGGTGTTTTTGTCTGCGACAGCCGAGCGTGCTCGGTAAACCCGCACACTGATATGGACTTTGTCACCATGTCATGATGCAGATTTTGACTTCATATTACACGGCCGTCTGGGGTCAGTCAGCTTTGTAAAGCTGTCTGACGCGCGCCCAGCAGCTGCTATGTGCTGCTGCCGGATGGTGCTGGAATTTTTTAATTATATAAATTTTCTTCTTGTCTCCCCCCTCTTGAACTATATGCAGAGGGTCGTGAATGTGTGAACTGCGGGGCCACGTCCACCCCTCTCTGGCGGCGGGACGGCACCGGACACTACCTGTGCAACGCCTGTGGACTGTACCACAAAATGAACGGCCAGAACCGACCACTGATCAAGCCCAAACGGAGACTGGTGAGTTTGAACTTTTCGTTCACGTAGCTTCACTCGGGAGAGCAAGCACCCAAATATGAGCACAAAGCAGATGCCGGCAGCACAATTCCAGGAAAGTTATATTTTCCCTATGATCTTCCTGGAATTGTTTGTCCCCCTCACCCCCCGATGATCCGGCTTCATGGCCCGTTACAATACAGCTACTATTGCCATTGTTCCTGCTATCATTATTGCTGGTACTTCTGATACTGTTACTGATACCGATGCCCAGGCTGCTTTAGTTAACACCACACTCAAGTAAATGAAGAGCAGAAAGAACCCACAGCATACTGGTTGTGGATGGAACATGTCTGAAAGCTGCTCAGACACCTCTACCACTAACCCTGAAGCTGGGTTCTAGCCACCTATCAATCAGTTAATCAGTGATGAAATATACTCAGCATATGTGGAACTTATTTAAGCATTTCTACTGATTTTTTCTTCTTTAGAATTTTTAAATGGACAATATTATTCTACAAATAACAGCAACAAAAGTAACAATTATAGTAACAGCTTGTTAAGACAACAAAAGGGGCTAATAAAGGCCATTGGTCCAGCTTTAATTGAAATAAAGCTTTTTGTATTTTCGATTATTTATTATTATTGGCTGCAGCTAGAGTAAAAAAAAAACAAACACTCATTTACTTCAACAGCAAATAAGGCTGTCGGGAGATTTTTTACAAACATTTCTGATAGGCTTTTTGAACACCCATGCGACTTTATTAATACATTTGGTAGCGTTGCTCCTTGATCTCCTCCACATCGTTCCTCCACGTGAAAGGTCCATTAGCCTACATTTTCCACTGGGTCGGCCCATGTGGCCGCAGCTTTTGCATTTTCAGCTCAAGTGTTTTTCAGAGTTGTGTTCAAAGGGGGCATCCAGTTGTTTCCTATCCGGATATCTGGCTAGCCCAGATAAGGAAGTCAGGCTCCCGGCTGTTTCCGCCTTCAACCAGCGTGCAGCATTCTCTGTGGCCAGACTGACATATATTGTAAAGAGATTATCACAACACTGGAGGACCCGCTTATGTGTGATGAGGCATCACACATGGGGCGGGGATTGGAAAATAAATGGATTTATGATCCACTCTTGTTTGTCATTCCCAATGGATTGTGTTAAAATTTCAATGTGCATATTCTTAAATTTTTCTTAATCTCACTCCAATAAAACAGAAATAATCCAGTGTGCCCACATTAAATTAATTAGAAGGGAGGGAAGAAACAAATGCTGCATGGGAAAACAAAACCAAAAAGAGGGGAAAAAAACAACGGTTCCTGGATGTAAAGCTAATGTTTCTTATTATGTGTGAAGAATTGATCTGTAATGGATGCAGGAGCACAATGTTAAGCACACCGGGTACACACTTGTACAACTTATAAACATTTTCTTTGGTCAGGGCACACACCATGCCTCAATTTTAACAACTTAATAAGTGTTTATATATTTCTATAAATTACAATAAGACAATTACCACACAGGAAGCATGACAAACAGCTGTCTACGTAAAGAATGTTGGCATTTCAGTTGAAATGTTTTGCTAAATTTGAGTCTGCTCAGAGTTAGGCATTTATTTAATGTAGGTGACAGGCAACTTTTGGAGTGTGTGTGTTGCTTTTAAAAATAAATAAATCTGCACATGGTTTTGTATTAAAAATTCAAATCCAAGTTGTAAGCTTAAGGGCTGTTTCAGTGGTTCAAGTAAATATGATCAAGCCACAAAATCCCGCAGGTGGTTGTGTAACAGTGATAACTCACACGTTTGGCTCATTGTTTATGATGTCTACTTTTTCTTCTTTCAGTCTGCTGCTAGACGTGCAGGCACCTGTTGTGCAAACTGCCAGACCACCACCACCACCCTGTGGAGGCGCAATGGGAATGGAGACCCGGTGTGTAATGCCTGTGGCCTTTACTTTAAACTCCACAATGTAAGTAGCTGACACACACACACACAAACGCACACAAAGCTGTAGGGTTTGGGGTGATGGTAAAGAGGTGTGGGGAGGGGGTGTAGCTGGCCCTTAACTGGTTAAGGGGGCGGACAGCATGTATCGATTTAGGAGCAGAGAAGCTGTGAGTGTGGAAGCAAAGCCTGCTCAGCCCGTCGAGCAGAACCCACCAGTCGTCTCTTTTTATTAATCCGTCGTTGTTTCAATGGTGGGCGTTACTCCCCGGAGAGGCAGCCGGGTGGGACTGTCATTCAGTGTAACGGCGTCGGTTACACTGATGAGGATTTGTCTGAGGGTGCTCCTTTCAGACCCAGCCTGGCCTCAGCCCCATGAATTCATATTAACTAGGATGGTTCTGTTTGGTTTAGACAATTAGACAAAAGCTAAAAAACGCCCCTGACTCGGCCCATAATGCAGCTATTAGATATGCAAAACAACTGCTGGTTATTTATAAGGTTCGTTGCACACTGGTGTAATTCATATCAGAGCACTGGATGACCATGACAGAAATGCATGTAAATGATTATTGGCAGTGCAACATGTGAAATATTTCTGTTGACATTTTCATCTATTAGCCAGTAAACAAGCGTTAACCGCTATAATGTATCATTCACACTGTCAGTGCAGCTTTTGTCTGGCATGCCTTGAGCTAATGCGCCGCTCTCTACAGGTCAACAGACCCTTGACCATGAAGAAGGAGGGCATCCAGACTCGCAACCGCAAGATGTCCAGCAAGTCCAAGAGGAACAAACGAGCAGTGGACGGCTTTGACGAGCTGTCCAAGTGCATGCAGGACAAGGCCTCTCCCTTTGGAGGGGCACCCGGCCTCACCAGCCACATGACTCACATGGGTCACCTTCCCCCCTTTGGCCACTCAGGACACATGCTACCCACTCCCACGCCCATTCACCCTTCATTCGGTCACCCCCACCACTCCAATCGCTCGCCAGTCTGGGCTGAACCTCACTGAGGGGCCCCCACATCCCAGACACCCTTTCGCCTGTAGGAGCCGTAACATCGCCATAAACACTAAATGGCTTCCGCTTCACTTTGAAAGCCGAGCAGACTTGTGTCGTGTCCACTGGTTGGAGGGAAGCGACGTTCAGTGGGGCTGAATAACTGAGGGACGCGTCATGCCTGGCCTCGATGATGGGACGCTGCGGAGAGAGCTGGACTTTAGCGCACTCTGCGTAGAGCTAATGTGACGAGGGCTTTGCTAGTCCCCGGGTGAACGGGGCTAACAGGAAAGGAGTGAATAGAGATGCTTGTCATTCTTTTTTGCTTATTTTTACTGAGTCACTTTGGTACCCACCTCTCCCTGACCCTGTAACAGGAGACTCAAGAGAGGTCTTAAAAGAACCGCTGTTTTCACCTCATGACCATATCGTTATATACTGAGATACATGCCCCCTCCACCCCCCCCCCCCCCCCCCGCCCCGGCTGTCACCCAGAACTGCTACAGACAGACAGAGGAGCTCCTCAGCGCTGGACGTTTTGGTTTTGGCTGAGCACAGGATGGCTCCACAACCCGTGCTGCTCAGTTGCAAACCAGCCAGACACACACACAACCAAGAAACCAGTGCTCTCCTCACACATGCTGGATTGTACACAACCACGATGTTCACCTGTTTTTGATAACAGAGTTTTATGGAAAAAAATACCAACGCAGTAAATAGAGTGTTTATAAAAGCTTAACTGCTATTATTGTTGTTATATTTGATGTTATAATTATTGCTACGATAATTTATTTTCACTCTTTAAGCTTTCATCAGACACACACATGGAAACATATGATTTTAATTTCATGGTTATTATGTAAAAAAAAACACTGACTTGTCTTAGATGAAAAGTCCCTGAGCTGTACATTTTTATCATTTTTCCATCTTACGAAGAAAAGGAAATAAAGTTTAATACTGAAGTGAAGCCTGTGTCTAGCTCCGTTGCTGTAAATGGGTATATTTTTTATTGATCAAATTACAGATTTCCAGAAATAATTCAGCAAACCAACAGAAATGTATGGTATTTAACCTACCACTGGGTTCCTGGGTACACTTGAACATTGTCCCTTGAACATTTACTGCAGATATTTCTGATTGTAATTCTGATTGCCTGTTCAGGGTGTGATGAATATGAACCCAAAATTTAATCTGTCCACAGTTTTTGTATGGTACTGAACTTACCAACTCGTTGCCCGATGAGTAGTGCTTCTTCATTAATATCATAAATGATATCAGATGGATCAAGGAAAGGTCTGTGATCCCTAAAGCGTGGTAATGCTTTGGTCAGGCTCCTCCTCTATCTGTGATGGCTTGTTGTTAAGAGAAGGCCTCTTTGTGAAGCGAAGGCCCCGGGGTGGACCATTGTGCCCAGACAGCAGGCTCCAGCGAAGGGCTCCGGAGTCACACACAGTCATGCATATGTATACACCCACATGCTTGTGCACACAGGCACAAACCCTAATTCACGTCCTCATTATAGTAAAGAAAAACCCAAACATGGAAGATGCTACGTTTCAATCTTTAACTGCTACAACAGCTATGGGTTCACATGTGAAAAACACTGAGTCATGATTATGTGGCGCTGCTCTCGCTCCCATCATCTGTCGAGTAGCCTTCCTCCTCTTGGACGTGGTGAGTGGAGTGAGAGGAAGGACAGTGGGTCTTTAGTGGGAGAGAGAAGAGGAAGGAAAGGCAATCAGGCGACCTGAGCAAACACATGGGGGTCTGCTCGAACCCTTCACACACAGATGTGCTCGCAGCTGAGGCTGCCAGGAAGCAGGCGTCAACTCTGTTTCTCCCTCATCTCACCCTCTTTTGCTTTCTCTTTGTTTATTTTTTCACTCCCTCTCTCTCCCAGCTCTCATTTATTCTGTTTGTCTTTTATTCTCCTCTTTTCTTTGTTGGTCATTCCGTCTCTGCCTCCCATTTGGACGATTACAGTAAAGGAGGAGGGCCGGGGGGGGGGGGGGGGGGGCTGAAGAAACTTTGAACACAGCCATTCACTAATGAGTCTGCCCGATTAAGGCCAATTTTAGGTCATCATTGCCGAGTTCAACATGCCCTCACACACCCACAGCACAAACCGTCCAATTAAACAGTCTAAGCTAAAAACAGACAGCCACCCCTTTCTGAACCCTCTACCCTCATCACATCTGCTGAGACTTCCCAGGGAATTGAGCGGTTTAATTTGTAAGTAATACTTAGTCATATGATTGTAAAGGTAAATGTTTTGTTTCCAGTGTAGCTGGCTTATGCTACACTGTATAAACCCCGACACTGACTTTTGGATATATACCACCATGGAAGACTGGTGGACTGCATCTGCCTGCCTGAGGGGGAGGGATCCTTTTGATCCACTTGCTAAACACCAGTGAAAATGTAACAGTAACGCACGGCTGCCAGTGAGCCGTCTAGCCATCTGCATGTAGTGCAGAGTTGTGGGAGCTGGGCCGAGTACAGGCCATGACTCCGGTGGGTTGTGTGCTGCTGCAGCCATCGAGCCTGCTAAGCACAGCTTGGCCACGCTCCCAGGCCTGAGAGGGGGAGATGCAGAGAGCGAGCACTCTTCAATGAGGCCCTCCAGAGGGAAGGAGCAGCCCTCCCAAAAATAATACAGCAGTCAGCCAAGCCAGTGACTCCCAGATCACAGACGTGAATATGTAAGTGTGGGTATATGCAAAGTTGCTATGATGTGTGACCCCGGTGGAGTTGGGGCTACAAATCAGCTCAGTGGCCTGATGTCAATCCAACTGTCAAAAAAATCTAAAAGGAAATGTCTGTCACTTCGTAGAAAATGTAAGACTGGGTGTGTAAGCATTAGCTGCTGTGCACAAATAAGCTTAGCAGCAAAGCGAAGTCAGAAGCTGGTGGTGTGGGTGACGTTACACATGGCCGCAGTAAACAGCCGGGGTTGCAAATAAGAACACGTTGGCTCCATCGGAACATATTGACAAGAGTAATTTCCATCTGTCCTCACTTCTGAATGCATTTTTTAAATACAATTCTGCCATTGTATTAACCTCCTTGTATGTGATCCTTAAAAATGTTCTGTTATTTATTGGTACCCAGACACAACAAGCACAAAAGGGATCCATGTTTTTAAGTGGCAGTATGTGACCCTCTAGCTGCATTTCATTAAATCCATGCAGTTTCTGTTGAAGTGAGGGCTTTGTAAACTTTTACTCAGCAGGCCTCACTAAACCAACAGTTAGACTGAGTGAGACATCCCCTCCTAACTCACATCCTGAATTATGTGACACAAAAAAGCCATAAAATAGGAAGTTACTTATCTTCACTATCAGAGTGGCATTCCATAGAAGAGATGAAGAGAAGAGATCTCGGATGCGTCGGCGGGGTGAACATGGTGGCCACCTAGATCAGAGCACCGAGAGGTTTACGACTTCAACCTGGAACTGGATGTTTCAACTCATCTCCACTCCCTACCTCCTTTTCTTTCTCCCCTCTGCTCTTCTGTTTTTACTCGCCAAACTCGCTCACCACCACCACCGCCACCACACATTCCCACTCTGTGCTCCATGTAACTATCTGTCTCTTCACCCCTCTCATCCCCCCACAGCTCCCACTCATTTCTTGTCTCCCACTTCCCCAGAATATTTGTTTTTCCATCAAATTGAATTAGCGGAATCAAAAGGTATCCCAACCATCCTCTCACAAAGTTGAGTTAGGGAGAATGAGATGTTGAAGATGAAAGGAAGTGCAGTGAAGTTCAAATGCAGGTCTCATAGTTTGTGTGTTGCAGTGGGGGGGGGTTGACCTTTGCCTGGGTCTTGCTAGAAAAGCATCCCTCCTTCCTCAGACCCTTAGAAGGATATTAAGCCTGCGCAGGGCAGTATTTAGATGACAAAAGTATGGGGCACACACCATCCAAGACTTAAGTTGCTCTGAAGTTACTTCATGGCCTTGAGAAAAAGCAGAACTGGAGCTTTAGTATGATGAAGCATAAACTACGGTATACCGTAAAAAGAGTGAAATGTATTACTTATCAAGTCATTGTGTTCCTGCTGAGACAAGACCCACGTGCGAACTTCCCCTTTTCACGGATCAAGAGAAATTCATAGAAAACACCCCTCTCTCACAGCTCCACAGGAAAAAGGTGGGTACGATCAGTAAAACAGCTGGTGTGCGCTATTCATGGAAATGTCAGCAGACATACAACCATTTGACAGTTGAATAACTACTAAAAACCAAGTCTAATCACCAGCACCATATAGCAATGATGTGATCAGGACAGCTCTTACAGAAGAACCTTTACTCTAAGGGATGCAGATCCAACAGCAGATAATCAGCAATGGCCTATGTTGACAAGAAGCAACCGCATCCTGACCTGCTAAAATTCCAAATCTCATAGATGCTATCTCGATATGACGAATGTTAGTTTGAAAGTGTTTTGATCCTGCGTCATTTTCAGCCCATTGTGACCCTTACTGGCCTTTAAGCTTAGTTTTTGTCCACCTCAGGAACATCAATGAAAGGTTGTTGGTTACAGCTGCATGTCAAGCTTGACTGGAGACATGGTTGCTGAAAGAAGTATTAAAAAAGAAAAAAGAAAACTGTGAAGCAAGTAGTTAAAACAGGAAGTACTTATGTAGTACTATTGGGACCAATTAAGACAATAGAAGACTAACAGAGACAGTAAAAAGAGAGTGATTACGAGGGGTACAGTATTTAAGTGTAATTCAGTGAAAGGTTTAATCCTGGAGGGTCTTTCCTGTATATGGTAAGAGTCTATACAGCCAAAATGACTAATTACAGTATGTTGACTTAAGGATTGTTGAACATTTTTCTGAATACTGAGCTGGGAGACAAGGGCTTATAACACTTAGTGCGAACACTGACAATACACAATATTGTCTGGCCTACTTGCAGTGAAAGATTTGATTGTGTCTGCTTCGGTGTGTCATGTGCTATAAAAGTTGCCATACGATGATTACACTTTAAACAAAAGTATTTTTAACCCTGTGGAATTTCTTAGTTGCATCAGTCATCTGGATTCCTTACAGTGAAACTATGAAACCTAAAAGGAGATTGAAAACAGAAACATTCATCCATGGCTCTTCATAGTTTGTGTTCATCAAAGGTTTCTGAGTAAAGTGTAATAATAATGAAAGCTCGTGAGCTGTGCATGGATTAAAGAGGGTTTTGTGGTCGCTGCCTCTGTAATGTCATTTGAATATCCTGTTAGTTGGTATTCCCTTTTTTCAGTCTAGTGCTGGGGATGCTGCTGCATGATTCTAGGGTTTTTCTTTTCTCTTTGTGTTAGGGTGTGGACATGGAGAGCACATCTCCCTCGACTCAACCTGAAAATTGGGTCAGCCTCCTCCCACCTGGGATGAAGAACATTCAGTGTGCCCACCTGGGACAGGTAGTGTTCAGGTCTCATTCATGCCATGTTCTGCTGTGCTTAGGCCCT